ACTTTATTACCCCTCACCTCCACAGTCACACTGATCTGTTTACAGCATCATGAAACCACTGACTGAAATACATACCTGGATTTACTGCAATGTAGTATAGTGTGTGTAGTATCACATACATTCCACTAACTGTAGTTAAATGATGTCCCTTGTAGGATGAGACTGATGTGTGAGGCTGGTTGAATATTTTAGAACAGGTGTCTGGTCATTGAATCACCAGGCCTGTGATTAGAAAATCAGCCTCTGTCATTCACAGTATGAGTCTGAATGTCCCAGGGTTTCTCAGAGGATTTATCCACCATGACAACGATGAGGAATGTTTGCTGTGTAAATGATTATAAAGCTACTGAGTATCTACAGCTAGCAGCAGTTTAATTCTAAAATATGTTGGCATTCATCCTCAAAAACCCACATCACTGTATATTAGTGTGTTTTTGCAGATCTCTGTGTGTTTCTGACTGTGTGACTCAGTGTGTGTGTGGTGTGTGTGTGCGTGTGTGTGTGTGTGTTTGTGTGTGCGTGCTTGCGTGTGCGGTGGCTGCAGCTATTGTCAGGCTGTTTCTCTGTGTGTCTGGGCTGACAGCCAAGTGGATGTGGCTGGCTGGGGAGAGGGTCTCTCTCTCTCTGCATGGCCTGAATGAATGGGACCTCAGATGGGAAGAAGAAACAGCACATTCTCTTTTGCCTTATGAATGTGGCTCTTTGATAGTTGATTTTTTTGTTTGTGCCTCTGAGTTTGCCGCAGTGAATTTAATGAGGCTCCTCTTCTGCTATTGTAGGTAACAGTCTGTGCCTGGCTTTGTATCTGTCTCTGTGTCTTAGACACCACTCTTTTCAGAGACAGACTGCCACTGTCAGTCAAGACGTCCCACAATCCTCTAGGTTCATTAACAAGTTTATGAGCATGTTACATTTTAAATATTTAAACTAGATACAGTTTAGTGGATTAATTATAGTTAAGCTGCTCTTTGTAGCTTTGGGGCTAAACTGAGGTCAACTTGTAGAATGAGGTTGTATTTGCATGATGAACAGGCCACGGACACAATGTTCTCAACAAAACCACACAAACATTCATGATATACTGTTTGCAAACAAGAAAGGATAAATGATCAGAAAATCCAAACATACACTGTGTTGAAGTGTATATGGTCCTTGTTTCACATCACCATCTCTATCACCAAAGCAGCTCATAAAAACACCAAGAAGAGACCAAATCCATCATTTAATAACACTGTTCTATAAACCAAGTGGAGCCCGGTTGGAGCTCAGATTATACGTTCACGTCCATTTAGCCACGAGCGTCTGCGTGACTTACATTTTGTCATCTTATCTCTCACACTTCTATGTGCAGTCCACACTTGTGGCAAATTCTGAGCTAGACATGAATGAACAAGTCTGTATATCTGACGCAGGTGTTGAGCGTCTTTTTTCCTTCTTTACACAATCTCTTCTGTCACTCCTCTGTCACCCAGGGCAGCACATCAGATTGTCTCAAAGTATGCACTGTTATCCCCATATTTGAATGAATGTTGCAGCTGGCCTGTCTCTGTTATGGCCTGCTATTCACCCCACCTGTTCCAAACAGCTATATGCTTCTGTCTTCCAGTGTGGTTAGAGAGCATGTCGTATGAACCAGTAAAATTCGAGCATACCTATGTCTTAAGTCCTGCCATGCTGCACCAACCCCTGATCACTTGTGTTTCCACTGCAACCTCCTGGCAGGGATAACCGCTGGGCTGGTCATGGCCACATCTCCAACATGTCTGCATGGTGTCTGATGGACTACCTGCTGCACTGCTGTAGCTTGGCTTGAATAGCAGGAACCCAGGCACAAACATAATAAGGTAGCTGATGGTAATAGACAGATTAATACTTTATTTTACCAACATTTCAGAAAAGTGGTTGAAACTTGGACATTTTACTGGAAACATACAGAAACTCTTCTACCAGAATAGATGTTGAGTGATCAACAGTCAGACAGAGCTGTTAGTGATGTTGTTGGAAATGAAGCTCAATATAGACAGAGTCCAAAAGTCTGAGAACAAATTAGTTAAAAATAGTCTTATGGTGTTTAAAGGTGAATTGTTACATGGATTTCTCTCTGAATTGGTGTCTGGGTGACAGTGGTTGAAGAGGTGCTGCTGTTGTACTCCTTCCCTTGAGGGCAAGTTAAAAGCTGCTTTTCTCCTCAGCCTCTGTGAAACTAACCTTAGTTCAGCAGATGAAAAGATGAAACAATGTCTAAGAAAGTTAAAGACTTCCCTCATTTACTGATGTGAGTCTGTTAAACTCAAAGTGTTTGATCATTTCACTGACTGACACACACTGACTGTGGCTCAGGCCTCTGGGTAACGGTCGTTTTGGGAATAGATGGAATGTGAGGCCGAGAGGAAGTCACTGCTCCTGTCTTCACATCCCTCTCAGCTGCAGAGGAAACATTGTAATGACAACATGAGTTCAGTAGACTTTTCAAAGAAATACGTTTGCTGTTTAATTTTACCCATCAGCCTCCACTGTGTGGATCCCTGCTCTCACTTCTCCCATTCATGCTGTTCAAAGTAGTTTTTCATATGTATTTTGTGTAGGAAAATCAACTCTTACAAACAGGGGCGTAGTGTGGATGAAAAATTGGTCCAGGACTTTGACTCTGACTGGCCCCCAAACCCATCTGGAGACAACATCACACTCAGCCTGTCACACGTTATATGAAACAGTAACATGAATTATACTCCTAGTTTTGTAATGTTATAGTTAAAATGTTCTTTACACCGTTCAGTTACAGATGATTTTATTACTGTACAAACACCAACTACAACAACACAGTGACAGAAATAGTAAGTGAGGTCAGACTCTTCAGACTCTTTATGACTTAGTTAGTTAGTAACTAGAGAGTGTGGGGTTACAGTTCAGACTAGACGCTACAGCAGTAAACACAGCAGTAGACATTTTAATATTAGTGGTAGAGATGCACTGATCGGTTTTCAGTATGATCAGCTGTGATCAGACTCAGATAAACGATTCTGTGCCGCTCGCATTTACACTCATGCCACATCATGGTTCAAGTCACACACACAAAAATGACGTGAAGCCTAAGCACCATACACAGTATTCATTTGTATGAGTTCCCCTCTACTTAGTTTTTGTATTGGGTTAGAAGTGGGATTGAAAGTTGTCATTCACAGCACATTGCTGCGTGTTCAGAAAGTAATGAAATTTCTTATTACATGGAGGTAAACAAAGTCAGCTCGCACAATGGAAGAGAATGGCTTAGCCAAAGTTCTGTAATACAGCACTTAAGATACTATTTACTACAAGAGCAATCACTTTACTTCTCTAATTGTGATTAGATTTTTATGGCCATTGTGTGGAATAAAAAGTCAAGGTTGTAAAGGTGATTTTTGGAATGGGCTACTGGGGCCATGGAAAGATAGGCTGCATGGTGGTTAGATGGAGTCTAGCCACAGGTGGTCTGTAATTCTGCACCGTAATTGCCTGGCAAAGTGTATTATGGGTCTTCAGACCACTCATCCACTCCATAGGGGTGGACAAGAAAAAAGGATGAGTGAAGCGGAAAAATAGGATGGATAACATGATGTCCTGTCGTGAGACAAATCTGCCAGACACTTACAATACGTCGAGGGAGTATTATTATTGTGTGGATTCAAAGAACACTTTCTGTGAACGCTATTAAGCCTGACTAATGAAAATGATGGTAGCGAATGGAGAGATAATCTCCAATTCAACTGAAGTGTCATTGTGTTTTAAAGACAGGTGCGACAGACGCTTTCTGCTGTTTGAATAAAGTGGACGTCGTCAGTCTGCAGCTCTTCACCAGAAGAGTAGGTGTCTTCACAGGCTGCCAGTTCTCAGAGTTCAAGGACAGAACCTCTGGAATCAAGTGGTGTCCAGCCTCTGGTTCTGGGCCAATGTGGCTGTGCTAGCAGCACCCACTGTCCAACCAGCACCTCATAATAGCTCCACAGTGTTGTTTCTCTCTTGCCATTCATTCCATCCAAAAGGCTTGTTATAAAAACCTGTCAGCTTCAGGGATCAAACATGTTTAGTCACCCAACCAATCAGCTTCCATCGCATCTTGCATCTAATTTCAGAACTGATTCTATCATTTAACCATTTTTCAACCAAAAATGTCACATATTCTCTGGTTTCAGCATTAATATAGTATTTAGAAGGTAAAGAGGGTATATTTTATTTTTTAAAGACAGAATATTTTACTCCGCTTTCATCTCCTCACATCTCAACTACTGCAACAGCCTCTTCACCTGCCTCAACCTACAAACTATGAATCAGCTCCAGCTGTACAGAACTCAACAAGATCCAAGAGAAATGAAGTAGCCTCCTTGCACTGGCTCCCAGAATGTTTTAAAGCTCTCGAGGCCTCTCTCCATGTTATATATCTAAACTCTTAATTGCATATGAACCAGTTGGTAGGCTGAGATCCTCTGGCAGAGGCCTTCTAGTTGTTCCTGAGAGCTAGAGGTGACAGAGCGTTCACAGTCAGAGCCCAACTCTAGAACGAATTGCCTGAGGAAATGAGCTCAGCAGAGTCAGAGCTTTCTTTTAAATCTCTAAAACAGACTTTTCTCAAAGAGCTTTTCCTGATTTGAGTTTATTTCATTGACTGTCCTCATGACTGGATTCTAATAGATTTTTACTAGTGACAGTGTTATTAGTTCTGTCTTTATTGACTGTGCTGGTTGCTTGACTCTTAGAGTGTTATTGATTCATTGATTGTTTTTGATTGCCCTCTCTCTGGTGACACTGCATTTGGTTGTATTTGTACTCTAGTGTAAAAATACAGCAACTGTTTCAATGATCTGCCTGTTTCAACTCTGTTGCCTTGTTGGACCTGTATGTCTCATTCTGCGTAAAATAAAGATTATTGTAATTATTATTATTATTATCATTATTCAAGCTGAAAATCCTTTAAAGGCAGAGTGTGTGACGCTGACTTGAATATGTTTGTTTGTCTTTCTCTACAGATGCGATGGCCAATCCTTCTCCAGCAAAGAGCATGGGTGACCCTGGAATCACTCCACTGTCTCCTTCACACATTCAGGTGACTCAGCTCTTTCATACACACACTCATTTCTGTACCTATTGTTAGTCTGTATTGTGTTGTCTTTGTGTGTATGACATGTGTAATCTGCTGTCAGAGTGGGTGTAGATCCTTACCCTTATTAGTAGTTATCTCACCCGTCTGGTTCCATCTCTAGTTAGTGACTGAGAGGTCAATAACAGGACAGTCACTATGTCCATATATTATAGTTTATCTACGCTGCAGAATTAGTTCTTTTCCCTCCATGGTGTGAAAAATCAGAGTCAACTCAAGTCAATTTTTATTTGTATAGCGCCAATCTCAAGGCACTTTCCAAATAGAGCAGGTCTAGACCTTCTCTTTATAATATTATTTACAGAAACTCAACAATTCCCACCAAGAGCAAGCACTAGGCAACAGTGGCAGGGAAAGACTTCCTTTTAAGAGGCAGAAACCTCAAGCAGAACCAGACTCAGGGTTTGCGGCCATCTGCCTCGACTGGTTGGGTTGGAGAGAGAGAGAGAGAGAGAGAGAGAGAGAGAGAGACAGAGAGAGAGAGAGAGAACAGAGGAGGCTGCTCAGTGCTCATTATGCCTCTCATTGTTCCCTCTTCCTTACTCTTCTATTTTACATAACAGTGTTCAGAGGATCACAGCAGAAACCTGCAGAGTAGAACTACAGAAGAAACCTACTGTCTGTACCAGTGACTTCTCCACCACTATGTTACAACATGGTTTAGATCATGATTATGTTTCTCATACTGTACAGCTGACCAGGGCCAGACATGCAGGAACCAGCTGTACATATTATCTCAGTGTATCTCATATTATCTCAGTATTATCTCAGTTGCTGTGTGTGTGTCTGTCTTTGTGTTAAGTTGTATGAAATGTTTGATGTTATTGATCTGTTCGATTGTTCTTCTGTTTTCGCTTTGGAACTGTTGCTGATGTGAATGAAATTGTTCCAGTTTAGATTGAATGTGTGTGTGTAAGAGAGAGAGAGCTAGTTTACCATTTTCATAGGGTCAGGGTGAGTCATTCAGCTGTCCCCACACATATAGTAAGATGAGGATATTTGTGTGTGTGTGTGTGCGTGCATGTGTGTGAGAGGGAGATAATATGTGACCACGTGTCCTGACCCTCTCACACTGTGTGCTCTCTCTGCAGCAGACTGACACTGACCAGGTCGAGTCACAGCTGTCCTTTGTGGTGGTGGTTGCTATTGACTTTGGCACCACGTCCAGTGGTTATGCTTACGCCTTCACCAAGGAGCCAGAGTGCATCCACACCATGAGGTGAGCCAGACACTTAGTGAGGAGAGGTGTGGGGTGATGTTATTTTGCTGATAGTGGTCTACCTGGAAGGTGTTTTGCTTTGCTTAAGACATTTGTTGGTATGTCAAACTATTCCCTCTTCATGTCGGTCACAGTCTGACTCTATGATCTCATCGTGGTACCAGCTGTACTAATATATTTTATGTACCACTACTGACACTACTACATTCATCTGCTGAGGTGTTGATTGCACACTTGAGCCTCTGAAATTCTTGGTTGACATTTTTGTGAATATTACTTGGCCTTGTAAATTCAGAATCATAATTTATATACATGTACATTCGCTTGGTTCCACTTTATAAATCTCACTCATTGAGAAATTGGACGGGTGTGCATCAGCCTCATTTCACTCCCACAATAACTGGATGAAGACTCTCCCTTAATCAATCAGTTTGTATAAAAAACACTGTCTCCACCAAAAGTGATCAGACACAGAGAAGAACAACGAGGATGAAGAACAATCTCACTGATTGTGAAACTGGGGTAAAAACCTGCGTCAGTTTACTTTAGTACAATCACTCTAATGTAAAGTCCTGTTTTACTCTGAACTTCATTTATTGGAACTAAAGAGTCTTAATGAGGCTCCACAGGCTCTAACACTGTGATCAGTATATATTAGCTGACTCCACTTAACTTCTGTTCATGTCATTAGACATGATTGTGAATGAACAGATTGTGTCTGTTCATTATTTTAAGTTGGACAAGGATCAGATCATGTTTTGAGATATGTTTTGAGAAATTTATACATAGTCAGTCAGCACAGACTAGCTAAGTTGTTCTACAGTTGCTTGTGTGTAGACTAAACTAACATTTGAAGACTTTGGCTTTTTTTGTTAAATAAAAAACATTTGTGGGAAATTATGTTAATATTGCTTGGAAATAAGTTATGGAAAAAAGTATTGTTTTGGTACTGTTTTAGTATCAGGTGTCATATTGAGCACAGAAACCCCTGTAGTGAGACAGGCCGATATAAAAACACTACATTTTGATTTAGTATGGAAGATATGGATACATTGTGTCTGAAGTGATAAATGTGGTGAGGGTGTTTTAGTCTTTACTCTTTGGCATAATAATAATATATGCTAATATATGACATTATAATTAATTGAAAGTATTGAGCTTTCGTCTGTCTGGTGCTGATATTGCTGAGTTTGTTGTAATTCAGGACTATAAGCCTGAGAGTGGTGTAACCCCTCAGGTTGACTCTGTTGCCCTCAGTACCAGGCTCCACAGGGGTTAACTACTTCCATCCCACCACAGGCTGACAGGTGTTTAAGTTGACCTGCTCGTGTGTGATGCTTCACATTCCTGGAAATGCTGTTAAAGCTGCACCATCATGTTACCATCATGACTTCATGTTACAATCCATTTGTCTAGAACTGCACGATATGCAAAAAAATCATATTGCGATTATTTTGGCAGATTTCAATTAGAATGGTTGTTTTTTCATTTCATTTTCATTTTTAAAAAATGATTATGTAAATTTTATTGGGTCTTATACCAAACAAACATGTTCCTTTATGTCTGGAGAATATGATATGTAGGCTGAGGCGTCTTTGTAGCACCACAACACTGATGGTGCTAACAATGCACAACAATGTGACACATTTTACCTTTATCAAAGAAATTGCGCCTCCTGTGAGTTTTTGCAGCTCCTGTGATTTGGATATTGCACTTGACCACATTGTGATTTCGATTATATTTCAATCCTCTTGGGGCTAACCTATAGCATGCATGTCCCACAAATAAAGCTAAAGCTGTATTGTCAAACACATTCAGTGAACACACACTGATGATGTGAAACCACCAGTAGACCTTTAACATACGCACACAACTCCTGTACTTTACTTCCAACCCACCTGTTAGGTGAGGGTTTCTCTCTCTGGTCATCACTACATACTGTATGGCACTTTTGCGCCAGATTACCAGGGCAACAAAATGCATAGTTTATTTATTTATTTTTTTACAATCAGTGTGTTTAAGATCAACGTCACTCTCTATTTCATCTTGAACATGACCCCTACCCCTGCAGTGACCCAATATGCCTTAGTATTATGGCTTTAGTATGACAGAGGCAGGTCAGTCCAGTCATGACAGGCATAGTAGGACACAGGTGAAGCACATCAGAGCCGGGCAGATAAGCACAAAGCGAGAAAGCTAAACAAAGACAGGAAGTAAATCTTCAACAGACACACAAGGTAAGCAATATCAAAATAAAACAGGAAATAATAAACACAGAGTGCAAACAAATAATCACTAACAGGACAGGTCAAAGCCATACTTCTCAAGCACCTTCCATAAACACTGTAATTATTCTGCATCTAGTAACAGCACAGGGTGTAACACAGGAAGTAATCTGTAATCAGTGTTTTCCCTCGCCAAACAGGACTTTATAAAACTGGTTTTATGCGTCTAGATCCTGGGGGCCAAGACTGTGGCGTACACCTTCACCTCACGTAAAACTCTTCAGGAATCTATAGCTACTACATAGAGTGGTGTTCTGTATAGTGTACTGCTACTACAGACTAAAAACACTGGATCACACAGAAACACACACTGAACCGAGAGAAAACTGATAGCAGAATCAGAACAGTTATAAGGATCTAGCAAGTACAGCGTCAAGATCAATAAAACATGGAGTTTCGGGATTGTCTAACCCTTACCACTACAACAACGACATAAAGTTTGTTGTGAAATTGTACACAGGACAGGATTTTAGATGGAAATGTAGCCACTAAGTCCATAATGTTCATTAGCTAAAAGCTGTCACATCGAGTTTCTACCAGATCTCCAGAATTAGTCCTTTACTCATCAGGTGCTCTCAGTGAGATGACCTCCATAATCCCATCATGCACTTCTCCCAAGGAACAGAGATAACACCAAATATAGCTGCAAGTGGCAAGGAGGGGTTTCTAACCTTGTTGCGTTCAACAGCAGCAACAAGCAGGTTTCAGGTTTCAGGCAAAGTCACTGCAGCTGGTTGAATTTTCTTTAAAGAAGGAGTCACACATTTACTCCCCCTTTGAGCTTAGAGCCCTAAGAATAGCTGACCTCCATTTGTCCAGAAATACTGTGGTAGCACAATTAGCCTAGAAGCTGAGTTCACACGGCTTTCCTCAGAGAACTGAGGGACTCGGTTGAACCCAATCAAAGTGTTTAATAGATGCAGTACTTAGTGCTTACACCAAGGTCTCCTACTGCTCTGAAGCTGCAGTGATGTCCCTCACTGTCAGTCACTTTAGATAAAAGCATCTGACAGATGAGTTAATGTAAATGTGTTTTCAGCTTATATGAGAATATCACAAATTAGAATGAACTGAAATGAGTTCTGACTCTGCATATATCTCTGAGCAGCACACAGGAGACAGATGTGCCTGAGGAATTCCAGGCAACCATCCCCCACCCCCTCTTAAGGACCAGTTCCTCTCTCACAGCTGTAAGTTAGCTGTGAGGACATTTGTTGCTCTGAGCAGGACACCAGACCTGGCCCCTTGTTTATTTAAAGATAGATCAAAGCTTCTTGGAAAAGGCAGAAGAAAAGATCAAATTAACAAATAACTGCTAATGGCCCTGGAGGGTCACACTGGAGATTCCACAGGCCCCTCCAACAGCAGGGGGCTGCTGCCCTGCCTTGACCAGAACCCCCCTTCAGTTCACATGGACTTTTATAGAAGAGTATTTTAGCAAAGGTTTTCAGCAAACCAGTCCCATATCACTGCTGGATGGACATAATGAAGGATCTGTCTGGGACTGGACATATGTTCACTCTGAGCTACTCTTTTAGACACATCTCCCCTTGACAGTGAAGCTCCCCCTCCCCGTGACTCCCCCTCCTCACCTCCTCCAGAAAACATGTGTGATCTAATGCCATGACTTTATCATTGTTCTTATTGTTTTTATATGTACACTTGTTTTCTTACTTGTATTAAATATTTTCTATCATTTGTAGTTGAATGTCTGAACATTTGTTAATGTTTCCATGACCATTAGAGATAAATATGTTATGTTTGATCTCATTGGAATCACCTGATCATCAGGACGACATCTTTATTCCTTTCAATTGATCAATAGCAAAATACAGTTACAGTTAGTTACAGAATCTTCATCTACATCATCATCATCATCTTGTGCCATGCTGAATCAGCTGTCACACAAGTCTCTCCCTTTCTGCTAACCAGGTGGAAACCTGATTCTAAATTGACCACCACTGTTACCAGCTGGTCGCATCAGTTTGGTTCACTCACCTGTTGCATATTTCCCCTGTAACTCTGGATTTGTGTTGTTGTTGTGTCAGTCATTCTGTAACTTACTGTCAGTCACTTTATGTATCTGATCTTTTGTTGTGTTGTCTTAAAGTTAGTTTGTGTATTAGACACACTCTGGACCCACTGCCTCAGCTTGGATAACACAAAAGCAGAAATCACACATGTATTGTTCATGTATTGATATTGACTGACTTGCCTCCTCCTAGGCGTTGGGAAGGTGGAGACCCTGGTGTGTCCAATCAGAAGACTCCAACCACAATTCTGCTGACTCCAGACAGGAAGTTCCACAGTTTTGGCTACGCAGCTCGTGACTTCTACCACGACTTAGACCCCAGCGAGTCCAAACACTGGCTCTACCTAGAAAAATTCAAAATGAAACTCCACACCACTGCAGTAAGGACACAGACACACACACAGTGAATACATGCACAACACTTCTTCTTCCTCTTGCACATATGCTGACTCTCTCTATTCTTTGCCTTGGTGGGGGCATCTCTGCCAGTGGCTGTGGCTTTACTGTTTCATCAGCACTTCTTCTGTGTCTGCTCTGGTGTTTAATTAGACACGTGGCCTCAGTATGATAACACTATGTTACCCTGTAAAACTCAGGGCTTGCCCAGTTACCAGTTTTCATCCAACCACAATAAACATGTTATAGTAGTAGTAATTATAGCAACATATTTTGCATAAAGCTGATGATAATGTTGTAAATGCTGTTCATTTCATGACTCACTGAGTATTCTAAGTTTAAAATTACCAAATTAATAATCTGAAGCCTCTTGTTGGCCCCTAGTTTCCCCCATGGTTTTTATAACCCATAATATGAACGTGTTGGAAAAAAGGAACAAAATGTATGTTTTTCCTTGAGGGTTGGGCAGGTGAGGGGCTTATCTGGTCACTGTCTATGTGGGAACAAATTTCATAACAGTTGCATTATGAAATGTTTTGTGAGCGAAGTTGACACTGAAAGGTTAAGGCTGACAACAATCTATATTTTATATTCTATATTAATATCAAATATTAAACATTTAAAAAATCTTATATTTAGATTAGGGATGCCCTGATTGATCGGCCGCCGGATTGGACGATTTTCATTAAAAATACGTGATCTGTAGATAGATCTGAATTAATGTGAATGTCACCGATCATCTTAATACCGATCACCTGTGGTTAATACTCCGATGTCTGCGGCTGAGAGAAGCACTGTGTGCTGTGTTGTGTAGTCCCGCCTCCAACCTTGTCCGCGACGGGTGACCAAAACAAAACAACATGTCGGCCGTGTGGAACGTGTGGAAGTGTGTGAGACTAATAGAACATACGCCATCTGCAATGAGTCATACTGTTGCACTAGATGACATGTTCCTTCAGTAACATGAACACACATTGTAGTTTATTTTGACTCGTTTGCTCTTTAGCAGGATGATGGGGGTAGAGCAAAGGTCGAGGGGGCCACAAAAGCCATTAGGAATGGCTTTGACCATGAATGACCATGCCACTAAAAAATACAAATAATAATATACTGAGTAGAGTATCACATATCTACAGTTTGTCAGATACCCCCACTGTAATGAATGAATCTTGTGTACTTTTCTTCTTCACCAGTCGTTTTATTCAACTCAGTGTCTTTTATCTGTGCAATCAGAATTTGTCCATTGACACTGACCTCCACGCAGCCAATGGGAAGCGAGTGAAAGCTCTGGATATCTTTGCGTATGCATTGGCCTTCTTTAAGGAGCAAGCTCTCAAGGTAACATACCTGTGTCAGCACTACATTTTCTGTTGTATTACATATGCAGTATATTTTCATATTTGGTTTATATTCTATAACTTTTTTTTTTTGGCCCAATCTGAAGCCAGTCTATCTATTTACATCATTTTAATAAAGCATATGAATTGCTCAACAAACATTTAATCCATAAAAAGGCGACTGGTAGCACTGACCCAGTAATTACTTGTTCTGACTCTAAAACCACTTTACCATGATAGTCTGAGCCCCAAGTGTGACACTTACCTGCCAATGAGTGTAAAAAACAGTCTGAATGTTCACTCTACAGGAGCTGAGTGATCAGACAGGTGGGGAGTTTGACAACAATGATGTGAGATGGGTGATCACGGTTCCTGCCATCTGGAAAATGCCTGCAAAGCAGTTCATGAGGGAAGCTGCCTATAAGGTAGGCTGAGACGCTTCAGTCACATCTACACTCTCACAGTCATTTCCTGTTTCCAGCATCTGTAGTTTGCAAACCACTGATTTCTAAGTCTTGAAGGAGGAGAGAGAGATGGATGGTGAGTGCCACTCACACATATAAAGTCAGTGACCTCCAGACTGTGTAGGAGGACACTGAGAGGGAGTCAGACAGAGATCAACATAGAGACACTTTGGTCCTGTTCAGACCTGTTCAGACCTGTTTATACAGAATATTTTACTATTTCAAATGAATAAAACTATATTTCACTGTAGAGCTGTGAGCAAAGCAATAATTCACTCAAACCCTTGCCCCATGCTCTTTAGCCCCTTTTCCACTGGTCAAAAAACTCACTGATAAGGCTTTTATCTGCAGTGTAAAAGGGTTCAATCAGCATTCACACCTGGGTCAAATGACTCAGCAGTAGAAGCAGGTATTTATCGGTTCTGGCTCCAATCGACATTGATGTAAACACAACACCTGGTTGAACTCGCTGATTCTCATCCCCTTTTCCGCTGTAACGTCTTCAGCGCTCAGACGTTGTTGACAGATCTGTCACCCTAGTTTAAGGCTAAGATGAATTTGTCTCCACTGGGGCTCCTCTATGTCACTCATTACAGATTACAGTAAAGAACACATTGGTTGTGGAGGGGTCCATGTCAGTGAATGTATAGTCTACCACAGTATATGCAAGAGCTGAGGAGTAAATCTTCATAAAGAACCCCCTCTGAGCCTACCATTAACTATGTACAGGCCTAAGGTAGAGACGACAGAGACGCACCAACTCCCTGCAACTGTGATGGTAATGGTTGGTGTGGTAAACAGGGGGGACTGACTAAACACGTGATTGTTGCCTTGTGGGTCAATGACATCAGGTTGAGTGCCTGTTCTTCAATTCAGCTCTCCTGTTAGAAGAACATTTCCCTGGGCCTGGAAGCAGGTGATTTCTGAATGGAGAGTTTCTTCAAAGGAGAGAAGCTTGTTTGTGTCTGAGAATCTCTAATTGCAGTCAGTCAACAGGACCACCCGTGGGCCCTGCTTTCAGGCTGTGTGGAAGGAAGCTGTGATGGGCAGAGCTGTTGGCAGCTGGCTGTATGGATGTATCAGGAGGTGCCAGGATTTTGTCATTTTGTGTGCAGAGCAGGGAGAGTGGGGTTTGGGACACTTTCATTGTGGGGACTTAGGAGAGCAGGTGTGTCAGGTGTTGGACTTGCCTGGTGAATCTTTCTCTGTTCTCAGCATTCTTTTGTACTTTGGCCAACTGAGCACAGAGCACACAGACATTTCTTCCAACTATGGTAATGATCTTTGCTGTATTATTCCAAACAAAGGGCTCGTGCAGCCTAAGTGAGAATCATACCCTTAGACCAACGATGCACTTGTATAGATTATAGACTGTAAATAAAGATGGACATAGCCTCAGTGACTGCTCAGAGTGAGGTGCTCATCATTGTCAAAGAGGTCTCTCTCTCTCTCTCTCTCTCTCTCTCTCTCGCTCTCTCTCTCTCTAGTTTTATTCTTCTTATAATTATCTTACCTGTTTAGGACTCAATAGCTGCCATTTTTAAATACTCTGAGGCTCCTATCTTGGTGACAACAGTTTTCTGGTGGTCCAGTACCCTGCACGCAGTAACTCTTCCAATCCCTTATCTGCAGTTGTCTCTCTTTTTTTAAGGAATCAGAATCAGGTGGTCCAAAAATGCTCTTTTACTGGGGTCAAAAAAGATTCTAAAAATAAGTCACTGGAGATGGTCAGAGTCCAATGCAATAGAAATTATTCTTTCAAAAGAACAAAAGCGAGATCAGATCCAGATCCAAACTGAAGACAGAGTGCCTGTGCAGCATTATATGTAGTTCCTTCTATGTGGATTCTCCACCTATTTTCTAAAGCCAACCTATCAACCTGGGAACCTGAGGATAGATATCCTCAACCTGGGCCTTGCTACACCATTACTCCCAGGGCCTTCAGACCATTTTTTTTTACTTTATTTCCTCCAGGTTCCATTCTATAACAATCCTACTTCAGTAAAGGCTGGTCCACTTACATATCTGACCTCAGTTGTGAATATAGTTATTTCATTGTATTATATAAGTTTAACATCCAGTATATTAATAATGCATAGTATATTTTATTGAACATTAACTACAACATTTCCCCCCTTTGGGACTAACTAGTCACACATTCACACATTATCAAGACATACATAATGACAGGTTCAAACATAAACATATAAAGGATTGCAAATGGATCCTGTATTATCATTCTTACTTGTTACAAAACCTCACACATTGTGACATAGTTAAGGGTTATGCAGTAGGCTTGCCAAACACATTTGGCAAACTTGGATAATTTAAATTGTCATTTAAATTATCTACACTCCCAGATCTGACTCGGTACACATCACAGCAAATGGTTATTTTAGATCCAGAGAGAATATAAATTTAACAGCCAGTGCAAATTCAAAAACATGCATAATACTTAGTGTGTATACTCTCAGTTCAAACATAGTGTTCATTAAACATTGTGCTCTTTATGTGCTTTTCAAACATACTACTCTATGTAATTTTCAAACATAACACTCTTTATGTGCTCACTAATCTATTGTTGGAAGTGGTGGTTCTGGCTGTTGGACTGGCATCTTGCCTTGGAGCAACTGGTACAGTACTGAAGGCTTTGGTGGAGGTGATGTCGATGGGAGTGTAGTGGGTCCTCCTTGGACTGGAACTGCATATCCTGAGGCAGTTGGTTGCTTCCCCAACTGAGTCCTGGGCCTTCTGACCATGTCATTAGTACACTTTGTTTTACCAAACAACCTTCAGTATAGTCCATATAATGTGAAATTGCATGACTTTCCCTGCTAATGCATAGTTATTCAACTGTCCTTGTTTTCTGATTGATTTAAGTCTCCATAATTTTGTATTAAGACCCCGTATATTAGCAAAACTATAATCTGTGTTCCTAATCTCCATAATGTCTTTCCTCCTGTTACTCTGTCTCTATGTTCCTGCTGGTCCTGCTGAGTCTGATTCTGCGGGGCTCGTGAGTTCATCCTCTGTGTCTGATCCACTCCTCTGCCTTGCTGCTAATGATCCACCCCTTGGTGTTTTGTATGCGTTTGATAATCTTCACCCTTGCACAATGGTCAGTGCCATTCGCATTTCTTATAGCAAAACACAACAACGAAACAGGCAACGCAAAATGGCCATGAGAACTTCTCCACAAACTCTTTTGAGGACCATCTCTTGTGACCTTGATAGCCCCCTTTTTCAACCACACCAACTTCTCCAGCTACCAACAATGGGCCTGTAGTTGTGCTAACTGCTGCACATTTTGCAGCTTCATCTGCTAAATTATTGCCCTCTGCAATTAAAAAGTCTGTCCTTTGATGTGCTGGACACTTAATGATAGCGACAGCTGTAGGGAGGTGCATTGTGTCTAACAGAGCAGAGACAGCTTACCCGTGCTTTACTGGGGTGTCATCAGCTCTAAGAAAATTTCTGTTTCTGAATGTTTCCATGTATGTGACACACACCATATGCATAAGTTGAGTCTGTGTATACATTAAGATGCTTTCTTTGTGCTAACTTAAATGCAGCTGTTAACACTTTGATCTCTGCAAGTTGTGCAGAACATGGTTGTGCAGCCTTGGATGCTTGAATTTCTGTAAAGATATTATCCTTATCTAATTGTACAATGGCATAACCAGCATGGTTTTGTGTAGCATCCCTGAAACAGGAGCCATCTACAAACAATGTGAGATCCACTGTGATTGGTTGTTTATACAGATCATCAAATGCTTGCATGAAGGTGTCTGTTGTTTGGACACAGTCTTGCGGCGTGCCATCCTCAGGCAACACTACCCTGGTTGCAAGATTCACTGTGTTGCATCTTGGGATGGTGAGTTCAGGTGCTGAAAGTATAACTTCATAACCGGTTTTTCTAGCTTGAGTTAGAATGAACCGTAGGCCTGTGATCAAGGCATGTAATTGGTGAGATGGGTATAAGACAACCTTGTGTCCCATGGTTAACGCTGAGGCCTCTTGAAAAGCAAAGGCTGCTGCTGCCAATCCTCGATAACAGGTTGGCCAGCCTGATTCAGTGTTATCCAATTTGGTGTGTAGTAGGCTAATGGCTGTTTACATGTTGGTGTATCTTGCAACAATACTGCACTTGCATATCCAAATTTTTTTCTGCAACATATAAATGAAACAGCTTGGAATAGTCAGGGTTTTCCAGTGCTGGGGCAGATTGCAGGTCTCCTTTTAGTGCATGGAAGGTATCTTTTGCCTCCTCTGTGGAGTGGACAGAGGAGGAGTTGTTTGTTTATCCTGCTGCCCATATTAGGGCTCGCAGTGGCGCTGTTTTGATAGCATAGTCACAAAGCCACGGACAACTGATCCCCAGAGAGCATTTGTCCCACTGTTTGTGGTTTTGGAGCTTTAGCAATAGCTTCTAACTGTGAGGGATCAATTAACCTGTTATATCCACACATTGTTCTGTCCAAATATTCAACTTCTTTTTGACAAAATTGAAGTTTCTCTTTGATGACTTTATGTCATCCAGCGCTGTTAGCACTGCAATCAAGTCTTTTTCACACTGTTGTTTGGTGGGACTACAAATTAGCAAACCATCCACATACTGGATTACAGCACTTGGAACGTCTAAGTGTTGCAGATCTTGAGCCAGCACTCTGTTAAAAATTGATGGGCTTTCTCCATAGCCCTGTGCTAGGTGCTGTCCTTGATAAGTGAATGCAAACAGGTGTTGTGAATCTAGATGCAGTGGTACACTGAAAAAGGCTGAACATAAATCAATAACTATACCAGTGTGTATCAATTGGAATGTTTGAGAGCAGCGTGTGGGGGTCTGGAACAACAGGTGTCTCAGCAACAACAATGGAATTGATAGCTCTAAGGTCATGCACTGATCGATAATCATTAGAGTGTGGCTTCTTGATTGGGAAAACGGGAGTATTGCAGGGGCT